TTACCTGGAACCAGACCCGTAGATCTAGTTTCTCTCCTTATTACTGTGGAAGAACCATCTCAGTTCTAAGCAAGGTCTAACTCTTTCCATTTTGTACTAGATCCTATCCCATCTCTTCTACTCAAGGACATTGCTCCAGCAATTCTGCCTTTTTCCTACATCAATTTTATCCTCACTCTTAGATCCTTTCCATCTGCAACAAGCTGGTATTTCTGCTAAACATATTTCTTCCATTTTAAAATAGAAGAAAATAAAACAAAACCTTCCTTGGCCCCACTACCCCTCTGCTCCAATTTTCTCCACCCTTTTAAAGTAAATTCCTTAAATCGGTTTCTAATTTCTTGCTTCCTATTCTCTCCTGAACCCCTCTGGTAGGTTTTGGCACCCACTACCCCACCAAACCTGATCCCCACTTTGCTAAAGCCAATGGCTAATCAGTCCTCCTCTCACTGTTACCGGCATGTGACATATGTGACTACTCCTTTCTCCTTGAAATGCTTTCTTTGCTTGACTTTTAGAACACTACACTCTCCTGGCTTTCCTCCTTCACTGACTTTTCTCAGTTTCCTTTGCTGATTCATTCTCATCAACACCTTCTACTATCTCCAAATCAAAACTCTTGGCTGCATATCACACATAAACCAATTATTCCCAAATTCATATCTCTAGTCCAGAACACTGTGAACTCCACAGACACACATCCAATTGCCTACTTGACATTTCTATTTGAATGTTTAATAGGCATCTTAACATGTCCAAAACTAACCTTTCAATATTATCCCTCAAGACTTGCTCCTTCCAAGGTCTTCTCTATCCTAGTCAATGGCAGCTCCATTTTTCTGCTTTCTCAAAACTCTGGGATCATCTTTGACTCTCTCTTTCTCTCCACCCCATTTCCAACCCATTAGGAAATCCTCTTAAGCTACTTTCAGAATATCTGCAGGATCACGTCTCACTGCTAACCACCTGGGACCAAGCCATCATCATTGTCATCACCTGGATTGTTGCAAAAGCCTCCTAAATGGGTGGCTTATTTCTAATCTCACCCCCTTCGGTCATATGTAACCCCTTTAAAATGTTAGATCATGTCACTTTTCCACTCAAAACCTTCCAATGTCTTCCCATCTGTATTAGTTAAGGTAATGTTAGCTCTGAAAGAGATAAATCCCAATATATCAGAGGTAGAAAATAACCCATAGAATTCATTTTTCACTCAGAAAAAGTCCAAAAAAGTTGTTCCTGTTCAGTGAGTGGTTTTTCCACAAAAACCGGGCTCCTTCCATCTTGTGATGGGCCATCTGTACTACATGATTTCTAGGGTTGCCACAGAAAGAGAGCTTGGAGAATGGCTCATAGCAGGTCTGTAAGACAAGTACTGGAAGTGGTAGACATCATTTCTGCTACTTTTCCTTTGGCCAGAGCTCAGTTACCCATCCATACTGTAGTCCAGCCGTGTCCATAGTAGGAAACAGTCTGGTCAACAGCCAGTCTCTTCCATGTCATAGTCAGAGTCCTTCTCATAGTAGAGTGAAAGCCCTTACAAGAGCCAAAAGGTCCTACACGGTGTCCTCCTGCTCCTTGTCCGCATCTCTGCTCCCTCCTCTCTGACCTCATTTTCTTTACTCAATTACCACAGTCCCGCCACACTGGCTCCCCGCTGCTGCTTGAACACTGCCAAGCATGCTTCAGGTCAGGACCTTTGTTCTTGCTGTTCCCGTTTCCTGGAATGTTCTTCACCACTTTTGGATATTACATGTCTTCCTCTTTATAAGCCTTCCCTGGCCACTCTTTAAAGATTGCAACGCCATCCTGGATAGTCCCAGCCCTCACTTCTCTCCTTCCCTGCCTTATTTTATTCCTTGGCACCTATCATTACCTCCCATTCTCTATGTTTTGCTTTTTTATCTGGACTATTGGCTACATACCAGAATATAAGCATCATGAGAGAGTTCGGTCCATTTGTTCAGTGCTGTATCCCCAATGCCTAGAACAGTGCCTGGTACATGGGGAAACAATCTATTTATTTGTGGAGTAAATGTTCAGGAGCAGTGAAGAACATCATGCTTGAAGAACATCAGCCTTTTGCCATAAACAGTACCTCAGTACTTCTCTGAGAGACAGCAACTGGGACTCATGGGCTTTGGGGGCAGCTAAGGTGACATTTCTTATGCGTGTCACCCTTCAAGTCCTCTTCCTCCTCCACCTACTTTCTAAATCCTGGGCTCCCTGGAGGGTTAATGCACTTTTCTTTCCTCAGCTCACTCATTCTCATGGCTCGCTTGGCTGCCTCCTGGTCAATGATCCTTCTGAGTATCTCCTCCAGCCTATTAACTCTTTTTATTTTAAATTTTTTGAAGACTTTATTTACTGGAGAGAGACAGAGAGAGAACGAACAAGCAGGGTGGAGGGACAGAGGGAGAGGGAGAAGCAGACTTTCTGCTGAGCAGGAAGCCCCATGCTGGGCTTGATCCCAGGATCCTGAGATCATAACCTGAGCTGAAGGCAGACACTTAACCAGCTGAGTCACCCAGAGGCCCCTATTGACTCTTCTAAGATATTCTGCCATTGTCTTAGACTCTCCATGTCTTAAACTCATTTCTCTTTTCTTACACCCATTTAGTTCATTCTTTCACTTTCCTATTATTAATAATTTAAATTTTTGAGTGTTCCTTCATTTCTTTCATCTAAGAAGTCACTAAGCTCAGGACTTATTTCCACTTTAAAAATTCCTCTTGTATATAAGAGTTTTGTCCACTTTCTTGCTCTGCCTTAGACCAAGCCCTTACCCACAGGGAATCACAGGGGTGGATGGTCCCATCACTGGCAGAGTCCCACTGCCTTATCCAGCTTCCTCTAGGACACTTCCGAGATGGGTGGCTCTCCCACCGGACTGCAATTCTTTGAGGGCTCGGACCATGTCCAATTCATTGTGGGTTTACCAGCACGGTGCTTGACTTCAAGGAGGCATTTCTTAAAGTATTAAAAACACTTCCTGATGCAGTCTCTTCTATAGTTAATCCCTATTAGAAAGAACCCCTCCTAGAAAGAACCACTTAGAATTTTCAATCTCATTCTACCTCCCACATAGGCACAAATTTAGAAACGTTCAAAAGACCCATAATTCCCTCTGCCTTCAGCTCAGGGTCCTCAGATTAAGACTTTATATTACTTAGAGAAATTTACATCTATGCTTTCTCTTCATGCCCCAGCCCCACCTTTTTTTTTTTTTTTTTACCTCCTCCCTCCCCTACCTGGCCTAAGAATTTACCCCCCATCTGTCCCCCACCTTCTCTTGTTCCTCGTTACTGCTGTTGCTAAATAGTTGCATTCAGGAATTCCTTAGTCCAGTCTGAGTCATAGCTTCTTCGGAAGACCTCTCGGATTACCAGCAAGGGTCACCGTCACTCTTTTGTCTGAATTCCCAAAGCATTCGTTGTCAGTCTGTCTCCTTGGCACTTAAAAGTGGGTTAACTTGCTTTGGATTTAAAGCTTTCATCAGCATGCTACTTGTTTCAATTGGATGTTAAAGCATGAGGCTTTATGTGCTAAGAACAGAGTAAGTTTATGTTCCATTTGTAGTCCTCATTCAGTGTTTGAATTTCATGACATGAAATTGAATGAGTAAGTGAAAAATTTCCTGTATTCCTCTTAAATCAGGGACATGCAGTGGGCCCCGCCCATTCAGTTCATAAAATTATTGAGCTTTTCTTTTTTAAGATTTTATTTATTTATTTGACAGGCAGAGAACACAAGTAGGCAGAGAGAGAGAGAGAGAGAGAGAGAGAGGAAGCAGCCCCACCCCCCCCCCCCCGGTCGCCCGCTGAGCAGAGAGCCCGATGCGGGGCTCGATCCTAGAACCCTGGGATCCTGACCCGAGCCTAAGGCAGAGGCTTTAACCCACTGAGCCACCCAGGCACCCCAAATCATTGAGCTTTTGCTCTGAACTGGGCAGCAAGGTCAGAGCTGTAGATTAAAAAAAAAAAAAATGAATAAAGCAAGGGCGCCTGGGTGGCCCAGTCAAGGGTCGGCCTTGGCTTAGGTCATGATCCCACGATCCGGCCCCCCTCCAGCTCCCTACGCATCAATGAGTCTGTTTTTCCCTCTCCCTCTGCCCCTCTGCCTGCTTGGGCTCTCTCTCTCTCACACAAATAAATAAATAAAATCTTATTAAAAAAAAAAAGATGAATAAGGCAGATCTTTACCCTGGAGCTTAGCCTAGAGGAGGACATATCGATAAAAAGCTTTTCATAGCAAAATTTGGCAAAGTGTATTGAAGATACAAAGTGTTAGGAAGGCAAATAAAAGAGGAATTATGTCTAGCGGGGTCAGGAATGACTTCAAAAGCTAACCGGGACTACTACTGGCATTCATTAGGCAGGAAATCAGAAAAACGTACTTAGTCCTGGCAGAGGAGATCACTTGATAAAGACAGAGCAAATCAAATACAGGTCAAAGAGATGTGAAAGGGCGGGTTGTTAGGAAACACCGAGAGGGTGGTGACCAGAGCACAAGCCAAGCGGGAGGGACGGGTAGGAGATAAAGCTGAAAGTTACACTTAAGCCAACGAGTGAAGAGCCTCTTGTAGGTTACATCAGGGCGGTAGCGCTGACGGGAAATAAGTTGGGATTGTTAATACAGTTGGCGACTGATAGTCTCGAATTAATTCGTCCCTGCGTGCTTGTGGGCTTGAAGAGAACTACAAGGGTAATCCAAAAAGCCGCGTGGAGGCCGAGTCACACGCTGTGAACCGGGGCGTGGCCGCCAGACAGCAGCGCACACACGCCACCCTGAGTAAGGGGCTGGGACCCGCCATCCCCACAGGGCCGGGAACCCGGGTTGGGCGGGAATCCGGTACACGCACTCGGCGCGCTCGCGGGGACGTGGCGCTTTCCAGCCAATCCCGGTTACGCGACTGTAGAGCCAATGGATGTCCGGGAATGCTGCACGTCTGCGGCGGGTTCGTTGATGATTGGTCAGAAGGCTGCCGGCGAGGCGGATGGGAGCGGGGCGCGGAGCTGCTTCCGGTTGGGCGGTGCTTGCGCGCGTGAGCTGAGCCGGTGGGTGAGCTGCGGCAGCGGGATCGTGGGCTTTGGACGCTACGAGGAAAGGTAGGTACGGCGGCCCTCGGTTCTTCCGCAGCCTCGTCCTTTTCCGCTTTGTTTTTGTCCTCGGCCCTTGCTTGCGACGCGGCATGGGTCCCCTTCGTTCGGGGCCCGTGTTTCTGCTAGCGCGGGGTACGGGCCCCGAGCCTGCTTGCGACCCCGGGGCCCTCGGCGCGCCGGGATGTGAGTTGGAGGCCGCCGCTCGCTCTCCCGCGAGCGCTGGGAAGGGGCCTGGGTCTCGGCGAACTCCGGCTCCCGGTTTTGCGTTCTGGGGGGTACTGTTTTGTGCCTGGCTCGCCACGTCCTCTCCTGGGCCCCGTCTCTCACCGAGTCCCTCCTGTTTGCCTACTGAAGGTCGGAGAGCGGTGGGGTAGTGTTATTGTAACAGTTCTCTGCCACCTCCCACCAGCCGGCCTACCTCTGTCCTCCAGCGCAGCCCCAAGGCCACATCCCGAGAAGAGGGTGCGTCTGCCTAGAAAGTCGTGTTCGCTGACTTTGGGGGTGTAGAAACGGGGCGGGGGGAGGGGGTCGGGGAGAAAGCCGGGAGACACTATGTGATTAAAACAAACACAAAAAACTTTGATACAATTTTAAAGAAAAGCCGACTGCTTCGAGCTTCCATGTTTGGCTGCATACTTCTGTCAGCGACGGGAAGTAGTTTTTAAAGCTTTAGTAGGGAATTGTATTTTACCTTTTTTGTTGCTTTTAGCTGTAGATCTTAGTTCTCATTTTTGGCATGCTGTGTTGAGAAGTAAAGTTAATTTACAACAGCTGGCCTGATTAAGAGCATAGTTAGGTGGTCGGTAGTTTTGAAAGCGGCTTTTGCACCACGGCAAAAGTTTCCTGCTAAAGTTGTAGGATCTCAATTCCTGATTGTACAAATTCCCAGAATAATGTCTCTGAGAATTGAATTGCGATCATTTCCTGGTGGCATGTACCATAAAGTCAACGTTAATGAATTGGGGATAAGGTTGCTTCTAATACGGCTTAGTAGTTGCGAAGTAGAGGACGTGTAATCTCTGATAAATTTATTTTTTTGCCCGAGAGTGGAATACACAAGACAAATACATGTCTGACCTCATTCCTTGAATTTAGTTAACCAGGTAACAATGGCCATCGCTGAAGAATTTAAGTATTATAGTACAAATCTGTAAATTGTATTTACGGGTAGAGGATGAGTTGCTTAGGCCTAATCTGAGTTTTACAGTGATTCAGGGGTCTCCAGTAGGATTTGGGGGGGCGGGATTGCAACTAGGAGGACCATGAACTGATAAAGGTGAATTGGGCATGCCTAAGTGGATGGTACTTGGTTGCAGCTTTGACATCAACTCCTATTGAGAACTCTCAATATAATTGTTGGCTTCGTTCATCTAATGATGTGTCACAAGATATGTATTTGTGGCATTTTCTATATGTTACATTAGTACAGGAGATCGGTAACTGATATTAACACAAATTTACTGTAACATGGGTGTGCCGGGGTGTTCGAAGGACAGAGGTGTAGCCAGGGATAGCCACTGGACATGGTAGGCTGTAACATCCTAGATCCGTTGTGAACCCTTAAATATGGGTGTTGGTTGATGTTGTAATTTATGTATTAGAGTTAAAACAGCTGAAGTAACACTTTGCCTGTTGCTGCCTGATCGCCAGTTCCGGTAAGGGGAATTGGGGGTTGGAGAGCAGGGGGGACCTACGTTGCTGCCAAGTACTGTCCAACTAATCCAGTGAAACGTATTGGTATATAAAAAATGCAAGACATTGTATTAGGAACTGTAGAAAGACACTAATTTGTAATAGCTGAGAGTCCTGCCTTTTAAAAATGTAGTGTCTATAGGGGAACTAAGGAGACAACTTCAAGTAGCCTATGATCATTATTGTGGACTGGTACAAACAAGTTTTATAAAAGTTGAGAGGAATGGGTACGGATTACTTCCAGATGGAGTAATTGTCGTAGTTATGTCTTTTCATCTAGGACTTTAAAATTATTTATAGACATTTGGCACCGAAGGGAGGTTGAGCTAAAATAACTACCAAATTCTCAAGGACTTCATGTGTGTTAAGCATGCACTGCAACATTGCAACCAGAAGACAAAACTCCTGTCTCTGCATTTTGCAAGGCATTCCTATGGCCATTAATTATGTGTTAAAGTTTCATCAGCCCTAAAGGAAACTTTTTTCTCCCAGAGGTTTTAGAACTTTTTTCTTAATGTTTTCACTCTGTAACCAGAACACTTTAAAGTTTGTACTGAGCTGCTTTGGTTATAAAACTAAGGAAACCTGAGTAATGGTTTGTCATTCTCAAAGCTCTTCTTTAGGCAAATTTTGCAGTTTTTGTATTCTCAGCTGTCATAAATGTGTGCTCTCAGTACCACAAATAATTTAATTAGAATGTGTTAATGATCTGATGTAAATTTGCTTTGTCACTAGAGAAATATTAAACAAATGGTTTCTCATTATAACTTCTATCAGGTCACGAAGGATGACATTATTCCTTGGATGTGATAACCCATTGTGGTGCTTGCACTAAAATTGTAAGTGAGGAATGTCAGATAAACAGATAGCTTTAATTTCTATATTTCGTAACATTCATAACAGCCTTAGTACATTTACACTGCTGTCAGGCTGTTCCCCCAACCCAAGATGATGTATACACTTAGGGAGTAAGATCCTGTTTTTGCTGCATTATAGAGGATTGCCCTTTTTTTTTGCTGACTATCCAGCTCAGAGAACTGGAATTTTACTACCACACCCATTTCTCCCACTTGTTAACTTTGAGCAATGGGTCTCTGGTCAACCAGAATACCTGTGGGATCACTCAGTGCTCATGTTCTTGAGAAGTCGTATTTCATCCAGACATCTGAATTTTCCTGGAACAATTTCAGTGTTCTGTGACCAATGACTGGGAATAAAGGGAGGGATATGGCAAGAATTTAGAGCTTTCAAGGAAATTTTCGAATGGATAAAATAAACTCATTCTTAAGGCTAGTCTTTGTTATTGAAAGAAATTTAGGCTTGTGCTGTTAATCTTTTCTCCTTATAAATTAACTGGAGCAGTCCATGAAAATAACTGTGGAAGACCATTATTGGTGAGATATTTCAAAAGGATGATAGTTACTTGATATCTTTCCTGTTCTGTTTAATTTATGTCTCTAATAGGGCATTATCTAGTAGAAATATAGTACATGTCACATGAATATAGTTTCACCTGAAATTGTTAAACAGATTAAATTGATTTTAATAATTTAATCCAGTACATACAAAATGCTGTTTTTCTATGTAAAGTGTAACATTTGATCACAACTTAATTTACACCAGCCAGTTCAAGTGCTTAGCAGCTGCATGTGATTCATAGCTATTATCCTGAACACTATAGGTCTAGAGTTTTTTTTCAAAGATTCTATTTATTTTATTTTAGAGAGAGAGAGCACACGCAGGATCCAGGGGAGGGACAGAGGGAGAGGGAGAAACAGACTTTCCAGTGAGCAGGGAGCCCGACATGGGGCTCAGTTCCAGGACCCTGGGATCATGACCTGAGCAGAAGGCAGACACTTAACCGACTGAACCACCCAAGCGCCCCTAGATTTTTTTTTTTTTTTTTAAGAGAAAAAAAATTAGATGTTTCCCTTGGCGAAGGAGGGACAGAATTTTGGAAAGAAAAACTTAGAGGTCATTTGAGAAATAGGAGAGGGGGAGATGCTTTTTCCACAGCCATTGATTTACCTTCTAGATCACATGATAAAAGTTCATGCAACTAAGTATTTATGTTTTCCTGATAACCTATTTTCCATTGATGTGTAGCTGTGACGAAGAGGAAAGGAGAAAGAGAAGGGCCATTTAGTTTTCCATCATTTGCTTTCAGTTTGAAAAGATAGAGATGCTTCAGCAATAACTGCACTAACGTGGTTCTTCAAATACCTCGTGTGAAAAGTTTTTTTATACTGTTCTCACATCTTCCCATATAAAATAACCTTTGTCTTAGGGGATATCCTTTGTTTCTACTTGAACATTTTTATGTACCGTATGGATTTAGATAAATCTAGTACAGTCTTTTTTTTAGTGTCTATATTCATAGAACAAGAGGCCTTTGTGAAAGTTTCTGATAGTCGGGAGTCGGTATATTATATGGGGTACAAAGAGTGTATATTTTTTAGAAGTTACTTATTTATTTATTTTTAGAAGTTATTTAAAATGCAGGGTTTTTCATTGTCCACTGCAGAGAGATGAAAGTAGGACCATTGGCTTTGTCCATCACGCGGTCCTTGTGACCTTTTTAAGTAGTTTCATAAGTGGTAGATGGAAAGCTAGATTTCCGGGGATGCCTGAGTGGCTCAGTCGGTTAAGCGGTTGACTTGCTCCTAGGATCAAGTCCCTCATCGGGCTCCTTGCTTGGTGGGAGTCTGCTTCTCCCTCTGCCTGCTCTGCCTGTAGCTAGCTCTCCCTGCTTCTGCTCTCTCTCTCTCTCTAACAGATAAATAAATAAAAACTTTAAAAAAAAAAAAGATTTCAGGGTGGCAGTAGATAGTGAGGATCGGAGATAGCACCATAGACACTCCTATGGGAGAAGCAAAGGGAAGGGCAACCTTGAATGAATAGTGAGGTCTGGGAAAGACTGATTTTGGATTGTGGAGACGTGAGAAGTGTTGATTGACAGAATAGGGGAATGAGGGGTGTCTGGGTGGCTCAGTGGGTTGAAGCCTCTGCCTTCAGCTCGGGTCATGATCCCGGAGTCCTGGGATCGAGCCCCGCATCGGGCTTTTTGCTCGGCGGGGAGCTTGCTTCCTCCTCTCTCTCTGCCTGCCTCTCTGCCTACTTGTGATCTCTGTCTGTTAAATAAATAAAATCTTAAAAAAAAAAAAAGAATAGGGGAAGGAGCCTTTAGAGACGTGGGATTGGAAGGTTAATGGAAAGAGAAAGGGAACGGGATGGATAGATGATAAAGCAGAAGCTCTTGACTTTTACTCTGGAATTCTCTTATCCCTGTTATCAAGATGTTAAGCTTCAAACTT